CAACCGCTACACCTATATTCCCGGGAAAAACGCTTTTAGAAAAATTGTCAAATATGGTCGTGTGGGTTAACACGGAGGAGGAGGAGACAGGTGTGTGCATTGTGTGCGACCCTTCATCAGTTGTGTACCTTATTTTTTGTATGAATTTCTTCCGAATAATTATGCTAGAGGGGTTCTGATATTTATTTCTGTTTTCAAATGAAATAATTTCACCCTTGTCCGACTGACTTGTAGATAATGCACGAATCAAATAGCATGGAGATCAGATAATCAGGTTTATTCGTATTTTCGCAATCAGATGAATTAACTTATTGTTTTCTCTGATTAAAAGGCGGTTTGGAGCTACTTTTACAGGATTTGTAAATTCGCAATCAGACTGGCTTATTTTAATATTTAGTCAGTGCAAGAGGAGGGGACTATAATGTAGAAAATTGTTTTGATTTCGACACTAACTGAATAATTTATCACAATTGTTAAATAAGCAAACAGAAACAGGTTTAGAAATGAGAATAGAGGCAAAAAAGTCTATACATAAAATGTAATTAAAACCCGGGAATTAAAAGCAATTTTAGACTGTTAGATGATCTCTTCTGTAATCAAGGTGATGTTGGTACACTTCCGCCGTTAGAAAAACAAAGACAAAGACTATATAGCAATTAATCCTTTTGTAATCATTAAATGTTAGATTCTTATTATTTTGTTGGACAATGTTCAGACTTCTGACCAAGATTAAATCATTTATGTTTGTATTTAAAAAATAGTATTTCAATCAGACAGACGTTCTAATGAGTTAGAAAAATACATTTGTCCATTTCCTCTCAAGAAGTTTTCAAATGTAATCAAGTCGATTTGTTGGAGTGTTTAGCATTGTTTTTCATAACTTGACGCTTCCATGAACAGAATGACTTTGAAATGAGTTTTTATAATTTTAGCTTTTATACGGACATGCTTATTGTATATTTCTATATGAACGTTGTGGTTATGTGATGTAACATCGCCCCCCCCCCCCCAAATTACAGGTATACAAATTTTGGTCGGAATGCATTAACTTGCAATTAAAAGCAATTTTAGACTGTTAGATGATCTCTTATGTAATCTAGGTGATGTTGGTACACTTCCGCATTTAAGAAAACAAAGACTAAAACAAAGAGAACTAAGCAATTAATCCTTTTGTTATCATTAAATGTTAGATTCTTATTTTTTTATTGGACAATATTAAGACTTCTGTCTCCGATTGTTATGCAGGTATGTGTATAAAATCATGTGAACAGCATTATCGTGGAAACTCCCATATTCATTCTCATAATGTCTTACAGCTATTTCGCAAATGAGATAATCCTAAACAACATATGGACATAATATTGCAGAACTGAGCGAAAAGAAAGGTGGAACAAATCAGATTAAGATATTTTATTTTTGAAATGCACAAAGGGCAACAGTTGAAGAACAAAAGTTAAAGGCGTTGTGAAATAGATCGTGCTTTTATATGATCCCCATTCTATAGTACCCTACCCTTTGCATTTGTTCGACTTCACTTCTTAAATGAGAGTTTCGTCTTCTCGTAGTTTATAATTAGACTCTGCACGCAGCGTAATTGTGCCCCTATTATCCATGTTCGTGTTCTCATTCGATTTTTCATCAGTTATGACTTGGTAATTTTGCTCCGATTTTCATTACGGCGCCCGGCCGATTGAGTATTTTGTTCAGAATTGAATACAATTTTGAACAAAATACTCATCGGCCGGGCGTCGGTGCTGAAAATCTGAGCAAATGTGACCACGGCATTATAAAAGCATACTCTTTAATACACGAACAGATTCAAAATGAGACTTTATCTATCAGAGAAATAAAAATGGAAAATTTGTATTCTGAAAATATTAACTGATGCATTGGTTAGTATTAAATATTAAGTTTTACAGTCGGAAACCTCAAGGGGCGGGAAATTTATTTTCTATGCGATATACACCTGATATTGATAGCCTTCCACGATCATGGTCCGTTGACATCATCAACCTTGTGATTTGCCATAAGTGATTAACCAACATTTTTTGATTAAAAGTCGGGGTTGACGTTTCTTGACTTTTCACACTGACATCAAAACAAAACATAACTTGAAAATAAAAGGCATAAAATGGCCAGTAAAAGTACATTTTTGAACAAAAGTATCAACTTATATTACACTGCACGCAAATACAAAGTGAAAAGAACGTCTTCCCGGAGATTGAAATACGGATCGGTAAGTCAACAAATCTAACTGTTAAATAAACAAGCTTAGCCTATGTCTGCGATTGTTTGTCTGAGTGGCCAGATGTTATCCGTTTCGGATAATAAATTTCTGAGAATACTACTGATATCTAGAATACATCTTCCGTGATATTTTTCATAAAACTACCCTTTGCATTCGTTTGACTTCACTTCTTAAAAGAGAGCTTCGTCTTAGTTTAGTTTAACTAGACTCTGCACGCAGGGTATCATAAAACAGGCATCTAAGCTGCAATTTTGAATAATAGCGTAATTCATAGCACAATATAAATCAACCCGCCTCTGTTTAATTCAAATATGCATTACCCTTGAGATTTATATACTTAGACACCTTTTCATTCTTGATTCGAATTTTTATCTTGTCTTCATCTAAATTTGTGTTTTTAGTATACAAATTGAACATACAAAATGTAGCGTATTGATTACACGTTACAGTGGCGTAGCCAGCTTTCAGTCGGGGGAGGGGGGGGGGTGCGATCGTGGCATAAAAAATGTTTTTGAAGATTTGTTTTGAATTTTACAAAAATTGGTGCAACTTCGTTCAAAATCGAGCTAGAAGCTTCAAATAAAAAGCATTTTAAGACTTTTTTCTTCTACCTAATGGTTCTATTTTCATTGGTTATGGAGGGGGGGGGGGGGTGCGATCGGACACATCACATCCCCCTGGCTATGCCTATGAGCTATATTAATATAACAAGGTTATCATATCATGCCAATAGTTAGATGGTTAACTAATATTAACACAAAATAATAATACACGATAATTAAAAAAATAAACCTCGGTATTCGGGCCTAAAATCCAAGGATACGTGTACCATTACTTAAGTGTAAGCTGCAATACCATATCGAATACCTGTACCATTACTCAATAATAACCACTAGTAAGACCATAATAACAAGCTTAATAACTAGCTTATCGCAAGTTATTCCATACGATTTTGTCTTGTGTTGATGTTAATATGTTATATCAAAAACTTGTAAATAAACAAAATTGGATATCTGAATATTACAGAGTTTTATCAGCCATAGGCACACTGAAAGAAAGATTCAATTTAGAATCTGTCAAGTATACAAATATTCATAATACTTTTAAATTTAATATAAATAATGTGATTATCACTGTGAATAATCAGAAATCCAAATTCTTTTATGAAATATTAAAAAAACAAACGATCGGAAAAATGGTTTATGAAAAGGAAATGGGAACAAGAGTTTTGCTATGAAGCCAATGATGAAATAAATTGGCAAAACTTTTTCTCTACAAAAATTAGTTGTAAAGAAAAGAAAATAGGTAATTTCAACTTTAAAATAATCAACAATATTCTTCCTAGCCTTAGTGATTTATATATATTTGATAAAAGTGAAACCTACAAATGTAGTTTATGTAATGAATTATGTACCTTGAAACATTTGTTATTTTCATGCTCATATTCTCAAAACATTTGGAAACATATTTATAATATCTCAGGGTTAAGAGTAACTTACAGAAAATTGATAATTGGTTACGATGGAAATGACAATCATACTGAATTTTTAAACTATTTTATAAGTATTGTGTCATTTGTTATATATAAAACATATATTCAAGAACTGAATAATGGTATTAAGCGTAATTTTGAAGGCACTATTAAAACTTTAAATTTTGAAATCTGTACTCGTAAAAATGTATTTTTTAAAAACAAATGGAAAATGATTAAAACATAACTCATTATACATTATTGTAATTAATTGTATCATTGTATTTCTGTATCGTAAAAACCTAAATTGGAATAAACTATATTTGAAAAAAAATAAATAAAATGAAGCGACACGTTTTTTAAGATGTACAATATAATATGAATGTCCAATATAATATTACGACACCTGGGATGAGTGTACCCTCTCAATTTACCTTTTTGGGACCTAAATCCTATTACATTATGGCTTAAGAATATGACATCCATTGGTGTTGTTGCATCTTGGCTCAAATCTAGATGGGTGTTTTTGCATCTTCGGTTTGGTGTTGTTGCATCAATAGTGAGGAACTAAAACCGTGAATTAATCGCTTTTCGATGATGCTACATGTATACAAATGACAGTTATTTGAAATATAGATTGTGCACTAACTGCATGTATATGGTTATTGAGAAACTCGTTTTAGAAATGGGTTTAAATTGAGAAAACAAAATATCTTACGAAAATCTATCACCGGAAGGCTGGCCATCTTGATGCAACAACACGGTGTTGTTGCATCACGATACCCCCCAGTGTAATAGAATAGAGGACAAAACCTTTCAGAAATTTTGCCATACCGCCTCAATTCTAATAGATACGTTGCTATACTTGGAAATTCTGAACCAAAAATAGATTGATGACGTCACAATTTATGCAAATTAGATAATTTGCATTATTGAATATCAGAAATTTATTGGAAATTTAATGAGGTTTAATTTGGTACCAATATCATCTCTATAGACCAAATAATGACAGAGCTAAAAATGATTTAAGATACCAAGGTAAGATGTCTAAAGATGCGTAACCATGGTAATGGAATGCCGCCATAAAAGTACTATGGGACATTAGTTGGCAATGTTAACAAATGAATTCATTAAATAGACACCCTAGGGATTACAAAAATGTATGTAACTTATTCACACCTGATGGGTGCACGGGAACCCCTTGTTCCTAGTATACTAAATCAGCACCAAATCAGCAAATATTGTGAAAATCATGGAAGATGTACAATATGAGGGAACTACCTGCCAAGCTGCCCTCCAGCATTGGTGAAGTATTTATTGAAATCTATTCTAAGCAACAGCTGTGAGAGATGTGGACTGGCTTGGTGGCTACGGACACTAGAGAGAATCCTGAATAGTAAACTGCTCTGTTTTTGGAACATCTGCAACAGAAAAATATCATATATAATCATGAACATCTGCAATATCTGTAATCTTGAAATATCCTCCCGTAACTATAAAAAATACATCTGCAATCATGAGATAAACGTCCTTTGTGTGATTTATATTTGAAGTAATGAAAGTTCCCTATTTGCATTTGTTTGATTTTGTGATGGGGCTAATGGTATAATCGCATTACTGTTTAGGTTTATATTTAAGAAATATAGACCGAAGAGTAGGTGTTATATCCACAAATAAATACTGCAGGGCTAGGCACATATGCTTTTGGAAGCTTTTGTGCCAAGCCCTAAGGTATTTATTACTCAATATAATACCTGATCTAAGGTCTATATTATGATTTGAACATGAAAACTCATCAATTTTTTTTTATATTCATTATGGCCTGCCATTGGTACGGCCTGCCGCTATGACATTACACATTTCTCATATTACCAATAATGTATTGACGAATAAATAGTGGGTGAAATATTGACTTTATTCACAGTTTACAGAAGGCGTGAATACAGTCATGTTCGATTATATATCTTATAGACATATAAAACCGTTTACCTAAGGTGGTCAACTCCAAACATTCATGAAGATACAGTGAATCAAAGATTAAAATTTCAATAATATACCTCCTTTCAACCATCTTAGTATATGTACACTGTACAGGGTGGTCACAAAAACGGCAACCCTAATTTTTCCTCATATCTTTGTCATTTTTGGAAATTTTGCCCTGATATTTGGCACATATGTACACCATTCAATTTCATACCAGACTGTATTATTTCATGAACATTGGACTGATAGTTGCAATGTTACAGCACTTTAAACAAGGTACCCCAGTTTTCCAATATCGTGCTGTAGGCAAACCTGCACACGTTTTCCAAACCTGTCAATGACATAACTGCATTCCTCAGCAAGTATGGCTTGAACGAGACATGTGATCCTTATTGTGAGGCCAATTGTCTTCCTGGTATTATTACCCTACACTCTATCTTTGGGGTATCCCCACTGGGGGTGCCCAATCATTGTCTGTTGTACTGCTGATAATGTGGTCATTGAAGTGGTCCCAAAGCCATTATTGTGAATCATTGGGTGTATGGGGTATGGTTCTGTCTTGTTGGAACCACTGTTGCTGCCTAACAACCCCCCTGGGTTCACCTAAAGTCCCCAAGAACTCCATGGGAATCACCAAATAGAGTTTGATGTTGACAGTTATTGCATATCTGTTAGCATCATCAAAGGTAAAGGACCATATCTTCTGAGAACACACTAAACTGTGCATCTGTCTGTGTGAAGGTGCCTCCCCACTACTTCATAAAGTGCTTGGCTCCCCAAGAATACATAATTGTTAGAGTTTACCAGTGCATCAAGTTGGAAATGGAGTTCATTTGGATAACAGACCAGCTCAGACAGCCCGAAAGTGGCCATCTGGGGGGCTTTGTATAAAAAACCTCCTACCTCATACCCACCTACCCACCTACGTGGAACATGATACAGTCATTGAAGGGTTCAATTTGTCGAACCCTTCAAAAGCTGTATCATGTCCCACGTACGTGGGTAGGTGGGTATGAGGTAGGAGGTTTTTTATACAAAGCCCATCTGGGGTATGATGCTTAAAATACAGTAATATTGTAACTATCAGACCGATGGTCATGAAATATGGTAGGTTGGTAGGAAATTGAATGATGTACAAATGTGTAAAATATCAGGGAGTTATTCCTTAGAATGACAAAGATATTAGGAAAAACTAGGGTTGCCGTTTTTTGACCACCCTGTACTTCTATGTTGAATTGTTATCAGATAGGATTAGACTCCTTTTCCCGTGACAAACAGTGGAGTCATTATTAAATATTTAAAATTCATTATAAATAATTTAAATCTACAAGAGCAGCTAGAAATATGGTTTCAAAAATTGCTTATCAACTTTAAAATTTAGTTTTTTTTTGAAAATGGGACTTCTAGTTCGAGGAGATTCCCCATAGACCCCATGTTATAAAATCACAAAAAGTGAAATATCTTTTTCTTGTTTTGGACAGATAACATTTTCTTTTACTGTACATATTCTAATTGAACCACAATTGAACCACTAAAACTCACAAGGGGAAAGTGTACCTGTGTGTATACAACCGAGCAAAGACCTGAAGATGTCTGAAAATGGAGGGGATAAGTTAATAAACTCCTGTTTTATATTGAATTTCTCAATGATAAAACACAGAATTGTTTGTAACCGATATAATTGTTGTTCCAGGCACTCATGTTTAGAGAATAATGAGTACTTAATGCAATATTTACTATCAAATTGCTAAATTCAACTTCTAAATATTAGAATGATGTTTTACATCTTAAATAAGTAAGAACCATGGCCATGGTATTTACTCCATTTGATTCAAAGATACAATAGGTGCAAATATATTACATTTGTTTCACTGCCATACGTTGCATATCATTGAAATCACCAGTGAAAGTTGAAAATGAAAGACCCGATTATACCACGAGTACGATTCAATAGGACCCGATGCTACCGCCTGAGTATTCCGATTATACCGTGAGTAAAACCCGATGAGGTAGTGAGTAAGCTTTCGAATGATCATATAATAACATGAAGTATATCACAAATATTCCTGTTAATATGATATAATTCCCGCAGCACTATACGTCAACGTCTGTGTCCCGCAAAGTTCTTTAAAACATTGAATTCATGCTTTCCCTCGAATCACCATAATTTTCATTGTTGATGACATCACCACTATTATCTGACTATGCTCATAATCCAATGAGTTTGGTACGTGTTATTTTGTATCTACCAAGACGGTAAACATATGAAAAATAGTTATATATTTTGATTGGTCTAAAATGTTTACCCGTTATGCTCATTCGATTTCAATATTGAATAAAATAAGATATCAGTAGAAAGGCTACTAAAATGAAAAAAGATTGAACTGTAGAAATTAGGAACGTGACACATATTCATTTTTATCCATAAATATGGATAATAATTGATTTATTCGATGATGATGCAATTCATTCGCTCTCAAATTTGACTAAAATATCAGTACAACGGCTCCTAAAATGAAGAAAGATCATATTCATAATTGATTTAAACGCAATTCCGCGCTTTTCCTATCCTCCAATGGTGATAGCCTAATTTCTGTTGTGTCAGTCCGGGTCAAAATGTTACAATAGTATTAATAACGAGTAACCCTTCTAATAAAGGCAATTAAATCAAGGTTCGAAAACTCCCAAAAGTAACACTAACACTATTTCATCATCAGCATGTCATAGACTCGACGATATAATTGGATCTCAACAGATTTTACTCAAGTAATGTTCGGATTCTGAGATCATTTACTCAAGATATTTTCTGATCTTTATAATATTACTAGGCGATCACATCAGGTCCGATGTCCGATAACATCGGATCTTTTAGGACAATTTTATGTGAAGATTTTGCTGTTCAAAAGTGCTATTTTGACCTAATATTTTGACACTTAATATATTATACATATGACATACATTTACCGGCCCAAGTATGTCTTATGTATGGCTCAATATCAATTAAAGCGAGTATGAATGAGAAAAACAAATCGAAAACCATTATACATTTAACTTATCTCTTAATTTGCACATAACAAATATATTTCAACTATAATTCTAGGCCAATTCCGCCTGCTAGAACATCTTAGTAACGATTCTAACCATCCAAGGGAATTGATAGAGGTCCAATATTTTTTTTTATTTTTATTTTTTATTTATTTATTCTTATTTAATCATATCTTTACAATAGATTACAATAAACGGGTGACACATAATGTGTATATTCCCGTGTTTTATAATAATACATGAACAGATAGGGGATCTGCTTGTGCAATAATGCATACTTTTTGTTTCTGCTTAATAGTGTGTGTCATATTAGGCCCGCAAATCATTATAAAACTAACATAGACTATGAATGATACTATTGATTAAGAAGGTACTTTTTGAGTTCTTTTTTCATAATGAAGATGCTTTCAGATGATTTCATTTCATCAGTTAATTCATTCCAAATCATCGGTGCAGTGAAAGACAACATAGCTCTACCATAATTTGTTCGTACTTTGGGCTTGTCATAAGAACACTTGTTTCGGGTGTTGTAATTATGTCTCTCCTAGATAGTTTTAAAGAGGTTTGGGAAAATTTTCTGATAATTATCAAGTTCATTAATCCATTTGTACATAAAAAGGCATTTCAATTGCTTGTTTATGTCAAATATATTTAAAATGTTTAGTTGTTTGAATAAGGGAAGAGAATGAGCTCGATAATCAGAATTTGTTGCAATGCGTGTGAACTTTTTCTGGAGACGATGTAGTGAATTTAATATACCTTTACCCGCTTCACCCCAAATAACATTTCCGTATATCAGATAAGAGTATATTAGCGAGTAATAGATGCTCAAGAATCCTTTATTATTCAACAGATGTTTAACCCTACATAGAATACCAATATATTACCTTTATTGTCCATTTTCCTATGAGATGTAGTTAACCAAACATTTGATAGGTGGTATATGCGTGTCTTGCTCGGCGGTAGGCTGTATATACACGGGTACACTTTCCCCTCGTGAAAACAGATGAATATTTAGGTTAAAGGGAACTTGTGGCCATTTTGAAATCAGTAGCCATCTTGAATTTTATTTTATTTTGTTGAGCATAGCTCTTAGGTACTGTTACGTTCGAAAATAACAGAGAGTAAAAACAGCAATCAAAATATAACAATGTACAGTACTATATTTTGAAAAACTGAATGCGATAAAAATTATATACAGGGTGGGCCAAAAAAAAACGCCACTTTTTTTCAAGACACTACAACTTTTTTATTTTCTAACCTACATACCCCAAGTTTTGCAGTAGTGCCAGGGGTTCTTAGTAATAATATAAGGTAAAAGGTCCTTCAACTTGATCTATATTTCATCTAAAAGAGGAGCTCAATTGGTCCACCACCCTATTTGATGATATAT